TTGGATCCAGACTTCTGTGATATGTCACTGCTACAAAAATATTTCAAAACTTTGCCCCGTCCACTTCCGCCCCCACAAAGGGCGAAAATCTGTGGCATCCACAATTTTAAAGATACGAGAAAACCAAAAACGCAGAATCGTAGAGAATGACCATATCTTTTAGAATGCTGAATTTGGATCAGATCGGATAATTTTTATAGCCAAAAAGAAAAAAAAAACAATTTTCAGTGGCTACGCAGCGCCCGACGTCACGCTCAGACTGATTTTCTGTCTCGCTCGCACGCACTATTTGTCGTGTCGTTTAATATTAGCGCCGTCTGCCGGAGGAGAGCCATACTGACTTAGTATCGGGTATAACTGTAGAGTTGCGGTGTCCGCAGCAACTCACAACGTTCCCCCTCGTTTTTAATATTTTTTAAGTATCGTAACGAGTGACGCATTCCATAGCGGCATCGATACCCACATAGCTACGCGAAAAATATCCCAAAAAGTAAATAATTTGGGTGCAATTCTTTCAACCTTCAGATCGTTTGTTAAAATATCAGAAAAATATATCTTGTCTGGCCTTTTATTTCCTTAAAGGATCAGAAAAATATATTTTAGTCTGGCCTTTTTTTTATAACATCCATAAGTGACACTGTATGCTACTACTCGCCAGTTACATTTTTAAAGTACACACTTGATTTTAGATCTCCAGTCTGTCCCCCTAATTTTCCTAGAGAAAAAAGAACAAAAATCGTTTACACTTCCAAGTGGGAGTACTCTTCATTGTGCAGTTCATTGTGTTTCGCGCCCCTTTTTGAACTGTCCTTGAACTTTTTTCTTCGTTTTCATTACCCGGTCGAAGAAAGGAGAAACAAACCCTTGGATTTGAGTGTGGAACAGGCGAAACAGAGCCGAAATGAGTTCGGGATAGTGGAAGCAAAACCCAAAACTGCGTGGCCGTGCTAAGACCTGGCTCAAAGTATTTTAGGATTTGCTTGGTCTTAACACCATTCACTTCTGTGTTGGCCCTGTGCACTGATCCATGTGGCCTAGCTGTGTGGCCTCAACAGACAAGAACGGAATCCGTATTCGATTCTAAGTGGAATTTCCTTTGGTGCTGCGATTTTTTGTGCGTGTGAGCTTTAGGTTGGGCCTAGGAAACTTTTACGGGAAATGTTCTATGTTTTAAATGGTTAAAATTGCTTCCAATTTGTAGCTTTCAATACTGCTTTCATTTCCAAAAAGGGACTTAAAAATTCGAAAAGTAAGTAAAAGAATTTGCTGCAATTCAACGGCGACATTTTTTACGCATTTATTAAAAAAAAAAAACACTCTCTGGTGTCTGATGAATGTTGCTTCATAATGAGGACGAAACATGTTTTACGATATTGTTTATTTTCAATTGCATACTGTACTCCAACAAGAAGTTACTCCATAGAGTCTTCTCTTTGTTCGTAGGTTAATTAGCTTCCAACGTCTGGCACTAACCACTTCAGGCACCTCTTCAGCAAACCTCCGCGCAGTGCTCCAACAGAAACGAGTATCTAAAATACTTTTACCTTTTAACGGCCACTCTGCCAACTGCAGTGCAAACATACTTCCAGATCAACTTTGTTAACTTCGGCACTAAAATGCTTAACCCCGTTTCGGGGCCCAACATCAAAAACAAACCCACTCGAGGCGCACTCTAATCTATCAATAATATTATTACTTGTTCCCGGCTAGTGGGGTTCTCTCTTGTTCATCTTGCAACACGGCTTGTTGCACTTGCCCTGTCTCCTAGAAGTTTTAACTGTATAACCCGAAGCCTGTCCCAGTCCCAGTCCCAGTCCCGATCGAGTCCCTCCAGGTAGGCAGCTAGCTACTCAACGAGCTTGGGTAATTCCTTAGGTAAATTTATAATTACTGGCGGCAACTTGCACTAGTTACGCCTGCACTTGAAGTCCGTTTCCCCCTGGACAGGTGTGTGTCCATTGGGGCCAAAGGAGTTGGGTCTGTGCTGCAAAAGTTGTATCAAGTTGTTGTCTGGGCCGGCGGCCAAGGCGACCGAGGCGACCGAGGCGACCAAAGCGCCAAGGCAATCTAATTTCCATTTTCCCGTGCAGACGGACCACCTACTCTTCATCCTCCACTCATACTACTGCCGCTATTTCTCCTTTTTCATTAGTTTTTCATGCTGAGGCAGCCGCACCTGGGAGTGGCTAAAAAGTTCATTCTAAGCGAAATTAAGTGCCATTTTTATTCGATTTTGTTTTCACTCGTTTTTGGCTATAGAACAGTCGGTAGCCCTCGGTAGTTACACAGAGTTTGCGGAGAGGAGAATTTTCCCTGGAGTTGTTCGGGCTAAAGTTATTTCTGCTTTGCCACTCGACTTTTTTATTTTTCGTTGGTTTTAATGAAAATGCAATTAAAAATTTAGCATACTCTAGGGTATAAGTGCATTAACATTAACTGAAAAATGATTTATAGCGTGTTTGACATTTTAATTATGCTCGTCGACGAAAACAAACAATCATATAGATATTCTTATGTGCGTGCGGGCGAGAGAGACTTTCTCTGAGCTCTTTTTTTGTTGGGTTGTGTTCAATTTTCCAGCCATTTGGTTTAATTTTTGTTGTTTGGTGTTCAATTTTTAATGTTCAATTAATTGCATTAAATTATGTGCAAAATTATGCACTTAAAATGCAATAAGTTTCAACCTACAGACAGACCTGACCCAACGGATCATCGGAAATCTGAATCAAAAGCGAGACTTTTTTTAATGTGGAGGGGAGGAGAATCGGGCGGAATACCCATTCTATCCCATTATAATTTAATTGATTCATTTCAATTAATCAATTACAGTGCATTATGCACGCTTCATTGGAAACAATTCTTACATAACTATTATAGCAAATGCTACTTTTGTTGGCAATGTAAGCCCATCTTTAATGGTTGGCGATCTGTTAGTATCGATACCATCGGTAGAAAAGCATTAGCATTGAGTTGGAAGCATTGGTGGCATTGTTTTTCTTATTTTAGGCTTGTCAATATGGAAGTATTCGAGGGGCGATTATATTGCATATCCACGTTCACTACACTTATGTTTTAGATTTAGTGATGTATCATAAAATTTAACAGATATGCATATATGTTTACTATGTTTTTGGGAAAAAAAACTTTTTACACATTTTTCTTGCAAATTCCAGAAGATTTTCAGTCATAAATCTAAGGGGATTTCCTCCGGCCAACCTTCAACTATGGACCTTTTTTTCATAACATGCCGTTGGTCTGAGCTCAACAGAAATTCAGTTTCATAAAGTCCAATCTCCTAGCGTTTTCCCATCGCCAGCTCTCCCTGTCCTGGGCAGCCCATCAAAAACCAATTAATTTTTATGTTCCAGCTTTGTGCTCTTTGTTGTTGTATATTTTTTTGCAACAGAGCAGCAAACAGCTACAACACTGTGGCGAGAGCATCCTGGCCAGGACATACGCATACAGAAGCAATTAGTCAGAAAATTTAACACAGTTCATTGGGCAAATTCGAACATGGCCGAACCTAATGACATAATTTCGCCATTGACTGGATTAGATAATGCCCACAACACACACACAAGCATCCAAGCACACGGACACGCAGACTCTGAGAAGAGGCCTCCGCCCTAATCTACCAGCAACGACTAATTGTTATAGGTCCTGGCTGGGACACAAGACAATCTGTTATAAGCCTTCAGCTAAAGATTAATGATCAGAAATCCCCTAATGAAGTTATTCGGGAACAACGTGGACTGCGATTGGATTGCGTCTGCCCGATGAAGTGATGATGAGCGTAATGACAGCAGAAAGAGAGGACCACAACTAAATGAAGGATACGAGAGCACACGAAACGGCTCTGGGCTGAATCTTCTTTTTATTTATGATGCATTTAAATTGTTGCTCTTTTGCATATTTACCTTGTTATTTTATTACGTGCCGGAAATGAACAGAAATATAAAATAAAATAAAAATAAAAAAGTACCCCGACAGAGACAGAGACCCCAGCGAAACCGACCCCAGCATAAACAGCGCGAAAACATTGTCACAGCATGAAGTCGAATGTTTTTTATATGCAAAAATATTTCATTTCCTACAGCAGCGAAATGTTTAATAATAAAAAGAAAACAACAACGGGAAGAGCCGGGAAAATCAGCAGGAAAATGAGCGACAAAGTAAAATTCATAGTGGCGAGATGGCGCAGAGACAGAGAGGCAATGAGGCAGTGTGGCTGGGAGGCAGGGTGGAGACAGAGCAAATAAAAAAGTGCAATAAAAATCTGTTTAACATGAAGTGCGGCAAACGCACAAAAGTATGCTCCAGCGACAACTGCAGAGAGAAAGGGTCTGAAGAAAAAGGAGCTGCGAAATCATCCTGTTATGTTCCTACCATACACTTTACAACTTATGAGTGCTAATAAAATTCACTCGGCATATCCCTGACAATTCACAGAAAAGTAAAAGAAGAAGAGAACTGTGCGCGTCCTTCAAGGTGTGCGCTTTGATAAAGAAATCGCCCCTCAACCAGGTCCGTTTGATGGGGACAAAGAATCGGGTACATATACATATATATGTACATAGCTGTGGACAGCATAAAATGCAAGGATTTCATTTTAAATTTCACAATTTATTGTGCCAGTCATGGTCACAACAGTTGCTTTGTGCCATTTCTATGATAATTCAGCACAGAATGGAAAAAATCAAATAAAAAACGACACTGCCTTTGATGATAAAAACTCACTCTCTGATATCCCCGATGCATAGACTAATGATAAGCTTATTGAGAATTTTAACTACAGGACAAACCTCGTTTCGACAATTCGCCAACCCCCGGCTCACTTTCTTCGCTCGTTAAGGATAAGTAAAATGGGGGGGGGGGGAACCACGAAAACTGCTAACCCATGTTATATTTTATGAGTCTCAGGAACGTATGACCCAAATGTCACTGCTGTAGTACTTCTACTACTATTACTATTAATGTTAACCGGTAATGTTACCGGGTCGACCACGGGAAAGCCCCAACATTTTGTATGAGTAAAATATCGGGCCCAAGAGTGCATGCTGGAAATTTTCGTACAATATTTTGACTCACTAGAAATGTGGGATCAAGAACCCCAGGCCAGTTCACTTGGAGAATTGTCGTTTCAGTCAAACGTCAGGCGAGCCTCATTGACAGACTAGAGCATTTTGATAGCCATGACATCGAAAGGTACACTTCTGGCAACTGTGCTACTGATGGTGCTTATCCCACTGCCCATCTGCCAGGCCATTTGGTTTCCCTGGTACTTCCATCGCTATGGACTAGAGCCGCACTCGGCTCGGCACAAGGGACCCGGCGGTGGGACAGCTCCGGCAGTTCCCAGTGGAAAACAGCCAAAGCCCGCGGACGGAGCGAAGCCCGGCACGAACAAGAACATTAGCAAGGGTGGCTCGACCTGTCCGCCTGGCTACGAGCCAAAGGACCCTAAGGCTGTCCGGGAAGCGGGATCGACAACTCGTATCTGCGATGATAACCCCGTGCTGATGCAGCTTGCCCGTCTCTATGTGGTCAGTCCGGAGAGGATTGTGCTGCTGTTGGCCCAGGCCTCCATGGTTGATTCGTGCGCTGAGATCTGCGATGTTCTCGGGAACATTCACGCTGCAACCAGCAACTGTGTACTGGCCCCAGACAATATCTATGCAAAGCTAAGCGATGGACTGGACTACTTCAAGGAGGTTGTATGCGCCACCGACTGTGAGGCCAGCCCACGCAAGCGGTTTGCTGGGCTCTTGGAGTCCCAGAACTGCATCCGAGAGATGCGCACCGACATGATCGAGTGCGAGGCACCACCCGATTGGTATGAGACGCAGAATAAATCCAAACTCTGTCAGATCTACAACGATGTCCTGGACTGCTACTACACCAGGGCGGCAATGCTGTGCGGCATTGAGTCGGCCAAGCAGCTGAGATCCTTTGCTGCTGATAGCATGGGCCGGGCAATGAACCATAAGTGTGAGGTCAGCAAGAAACTTCCGAGGGTGGACAATGCCATGCCCTCGATGGCGTCGGCCTCTTCGAACATGGGCATGGCTCTCTTTATCATTTTTCTGAATCTCATCATTTGTTAAGGTTTTTTTCGAACATTTTTATATTTTCTTACCATCGAAACCGTGTGAAAATTGTTTAATAAATTAGAGCATTTATTAAATGTTTTGGTTAGATATTATGTTCATTACTAGATGAATTTGCCCTCTAAAGCGTTCCTTTTCTAAGACCAAGCATAAACATACTCAAATAATTGTTTACATATGTATAAAAACTATATTTACTAGTATATAACTAATTTATCTTCGCATTGGCCCCATTGGCAAAACACTTAAGTGTTTGGCTATTTTCAACTAAATTTCAATAAATACCCAACGGACTTAAGCTGTCGACAAAATAAGCCAATTTACTAAGGTGTGTCGGAGCTTGTGTGAGCGTGGGAGAGCCACAAACACACAGCAACACACACACTCGGAAGCAGCGGACAGGACACCAGGAAAGCCAAATGTCGGCGCTGCCTCTTGCTTCGAGCAAAACTCATCAATTATGTTGATGCGACTTGCAAATGTATGGGCGGTCAGATGGTTTCCCTATGTGACCTTTATTAATGACACCTTAACCAATAGGTTGTGCAGGAAAGAGGGACATCCTACCGTTAGGGGTGGCCTTTTGTCGCTGTCCATTGGTCGGAAACACCTCGAGCACTCGCATCGCCAGAGATGAGGAAATGAGTGGCCCGAAGGCCTTCGTAATGAGGGCATCTTATATTAGTTACTTTTTTATTTTGTTTTTTTCATCAACAATACCTTCAAACTAGTTTTGATTCACGATAGAATAGATTTTGATGTTTTTGCTTCGATCTGGTCGATAAAGATATAAACCAAAGATATCGCGGGACGAACTTATGAAATAAAACATCTTAATGTCTATGATATTTTCCATAGGCTTTGGACCTCATTAATTTACTAGACAAAACAAGTTATGAACGCCTTTGAAACGCAAAATGAATTTCCAACACGGAATTCCAACTAAACCATAATAAACTATAGTTTATTTTCCAGTGGGAGCTGCAAACCAAAATATATGTTGTATGTAATGTGATTATCTGTTAGTATTTTAAATGGAACAGGACTCAATGATCAGTGGCTTGGTTGCAGGTCCGAAAGGGGATTGACCACGTCAATGCGTATTTAAAGCCCACATTTTTTCTGTTGAATGAATCCCCCTTTAGTATCGGACAAAACAAAAACAAAACAAACAGCTACGCCACTGATCCGAAAATAATTACGAAAATATTAAACCGCTTGCCATAGCTAATAATCGAATAATCTTGCTCCAATATACGTATTAATTTCAATTATTTCCACAAATTGCCATCAATAAAACGAAGGTGGCAAAAAGTTATGAGAGCCACTACTAAAAATTTAATGCCATAATTAAACAAAGCGAAATGGGTGCCAAATGGAAAGTGGCGATGGAAAGTGGCGATGGAAAGCCACCAACTCGAACCCGATAAAAGCATAGTGGTTATAGAGGCAAATCCTAGCTGACAAAAATGGGCGTGGTTTTGGGCGAGGGCACAGGAGCAGGATGAATCGAGTGGAATACATGCCAGGAGCATGAGCAGGAGCAGGACCACGAGCAGAAGCAGACGGAATCGACTGTATGTGGCGCCCATTTTGTGTCGCCATGGCTGACGTTGTCTACTCCATTAAAATGAAGTTGTGCTTTTTCTCTGTGACTGCCTCTGCTGTTGTTGCTTGGCGCCAACGAGACGTTGAAAACAAAAAGCAGATTGTTCACAAACAAAACACGGGCCACATTTCAATGGGGTTTTACCTGTAAATACTCATAGTGGCACCAGGCAAGAGGGACGACTGGCAGAACTGTGAGCCGGACCATCAGCACGCAGCTGTCCCCCTGCAGATAAAGTATCTTTTTTCCTCCTGTTTTGTTTTCCTTTCTTTTTGCTCTGTTTTTCCTTGGCTAAATAAAAATAAGTGCTTCGGAATACAGACCATCCCCTCCTGTTGCTCTCAATTGACAATAAACATGGAAGCTGAACGGTGCGGCCAGACGGACAGGACTCGGAGAGTAAAACGCTGGTCATTCCCTCAGATGAATGTCTCTTTGCCATGTGTGTGACTCAGCCGATGGTTCCATTCAACGCCATCATTGTGCATTTTATAGCTAACACAGGTCTGGGGTCTGGTCACTGGAACCAGAAAAATGCTTCCTTAATTCATCCGTTTCGATATTCTTAGAATAAATATATTTTTTGGACGTTGATATGCAATATCTGCATCCTTCAAGTGGCGATGCAATTACTTCACTATCAAGTGACCTGTGTGACACCCAGCCATCCTCCCGCCCCACCGAACGAGGGGCGCTGCCCCTCTGATCGCGAACATGCTGGAAATATAGCTGCTAAACTAATATGCTTGAAAAATTATAGCTAAGCCTTAGAACCTAAGCCGGTTCATTTCAGGAATAATACGTTATACCAAGTGGAAGAAACAGCGGTATATAGTTTCTGGTGAATCTTATAGGAATCATGAAGTTTATGTAGCTCAACAAATCGGGGATATATACATCACCCTTGGTCAAGTTGTGCACAAAAATCACACCTAGCTTTTTTCTACGATTAACTAAGGATGGTAGGCTTATTGGTATCAATCTATTAGAGTGAGATGGTATTCTCACATAAAATGTTTTTATGGACAGATTATATACGGTCCTGGTGTACTTTGTACTGAGGGCACCATAAACAGGAGCCGTATTCTGAGATTCTGAGTCTAATATAACACCAAGATCATCCACCAGGGTTATTATCTCAGGAGAACCACCGCATAGAGTAAAACTGTTTTGGGTCCTGTGAAAAACTTATCATCAACTTCATCGAGATAGGTGTTCTTATAGCGATGAGCATGAAGAACTGAAAAGTTTGACCGAGCTATTACATAGCGAGATAGTAGAAGTAGGAGAACCAACTTCTGGAAATTTTGTATAAAATCTTGATTTTAAGTGTTTTAGACGGTATAACTCTTTGGTAAGCCAAGGAGGTTTTCCAGATCTAGTCGGACACGAAAGCGGGACACATGAATCAAAAAATGTGCCAAGGGCATTGTAAAAAATGTTTGTGCTTTTTTTAACATCAGTGCATAAGTACAAGGCGGACCAATCAAAATCCCTAATGAGGCAGCCGACACGTTCAGATGGCCTACTCGACCGATCCAATACAGTTGGACCTATGTCGAGTGACACTTCGAAAGTAGGACGGTAGGACGGGTTCAGGTTTAAAAAGCTTAGATCAAGAAATCGACCGAAGGAATTTTTCAAATGGTTTACTTAGACCGGGACAGGTCAAGCAAACCATCAGCAAAGTCATTTCATGACATCGAAACTAGAACTAGAATCGCTTTCCGAAGTCCAAACAGTACTTGTCAAGTTAAAGTCACCAATAACTATCATAAGACCTTTGTCTAATAGCTAGGGAGAAGTATTTGAAAGGCACACAGGAACTGCTCATAAATTCAGATATCCACAGAAGGTGGAATATCCGATTTCGTAATGAAGATAGCAAAGACGAAAAGAATCAGTTTTACACATAGGAACTCCAGTTTATTTTGAACCGCCTGCGCGTCGATACGAACCAGCATTTCTAAAAATTATCTACCAACCTGAGAACACAAAGAATGTCAGGTTTTAGCCAGGTCTCGTTAAGCACAATAATGTAGGATGCAAATCCAACACTATCTCGAAAATAGGGTGTAGAGCTTACTGCGTAAGCCTCTAACATTTTGGTAAGTTAATAAGATGGAAGAAAGTTTTTTGAATGCGTGGAAGGTGGATGGAAAGTTGTGCGTGGCACGGTGGGCTGATCTGTGAGTGTTATGGGGGGCCATTATTTTTCGTAGCCTTGAACTCCTTCACAACCAAATGCTCCAGCCAAAATTAGGCAACGCATATGGTTGGGGAGACCCTTATCTTAAAGGAGGCTATCTCCTTAATAATATGCAATGGTTGTCCATCCGGAATAAGAACAGTTGACACTCCGGAAAGTGAAGGCAGGAGCTCCCAATGAATTCGCATATGAGGAATACATTTGGGTACATAAAGTATTGCAAGACGCCGAAATCAGCCATACAGAGGGAGACTTTATTTTCAAAAGAATTTGTGTATTGTTCCAATAGTGAGCCTACTTAGTCTGATCATCCGATGCAATAAAATTAAGAACCATTACCTTATTTTTCATCTTCCGATGTAAGTTCCTGTAAAAACCTTTTTATGAATTCCTTCTCCAGAAATATTCAACCTGCCATAATTCTTGTTCTTGCAGTAAACCCGTTGGGATCCTCCACCAGCCAAAATCAACGCCCTCCGCCATTCTAAGCTAACTCAATCACTCCCTCAACCTCACTCACCTCTAATTCGATCAACATCAATTCAACCACACAAAACGCTACACCACAAACGCCCACCCGGCCGAAAGACATTTGTTTATGCTATTCTTTCCATTCAAATGCCACAGCACGTATTCCATTCCGAAAAAAGGGCAGAACAGAGCTGGGAGAGCATTCCCGAAAAGGGCGCAAAAGCAAGAGAATTGAGCATATTTAATAAGTTGACAAAACATATTTCACACGCACAAATGCGTCAGCTTTCCGCTGGCTGCCATTTGTTTGGCCCTCGACTTACTGCCAGCTGCCTACATATGTCAGGCATCATTATTAACAGATTTTTGGGTGCGACACGCACGAAACCCCAAATATCTGAACTCTCAATTTGGCCCCGGGCTGGGGATGGTCTCGCTGGTGGCAAGGTGGGGAAGAAGGACACACAGCATGTGAAAATGTTATTGACATCTATTTCAATATTTATAAACGCGCCCTGAAAGTATTACCATACCCTAGGGGTATAAGGGGTGAGATTTTGGTTTCATTAAGTATTCCACTGAGCTCCGAGTGGCTGGTCCTTAAATAAAGAATTGTATTGTCCAGGCATTAAAGCCCAGAAATAGAGACCCACGGAATGAACTCCGAACTGACAAACTCATGCACAGTCCATCAAAATCAATTTAACATTTCAACATCAATCTCTTAAAGGACATTTTCAATTGTTGTTGTGTGTGTTTTCCTTGAGTGATTTTGTCCGTTGCAATTTTTACCACCAGCAGAGCACACTCCCCCACGCAACGCAATCCAACCAAAGCATGTAAGTCTCATGAAATATGCATCATTTAACATTTACGAGAGGTAGGGTCCGAGCAAGCCGGAACCTTCAGTACATCCTGCGACTGACAGGGGAATTGGCGGAGCTGGTGGCGGAGCTGGTGCCTGGTGGCTGATGGCAGGGCAAAGCGGATTCCACCTTCAGTTATGGTCCCTGGCTGGCCGCAACATAAATGCCACAGCATTGGAGCTGACACTAATACGCAAAGCCTGGTTGGGCAACTAATAAGCGTGTGCCGAGGTGTGCCAACCGGCCAATGCGCAGCGTCACCCCACAGGACAGAAGACAGTGGACACGACAGGGGATGGCCATCAGTATGGCCGAACCTGACTGGGTGTCATGGCCACGCTGTAGTTCTATGGGGAATGGGAATGGGACGGGGGCTCAATCTTAAGGGTAACCAATCTCTGGAAATGCAGCAGGCAAATTAAACCCATATCAAACTAAAAGCATTGAACTGCTATAAGCCAGGCTAGACATGGTTGCTCCAAATATCCCAGGGATAGTAAAACGTGCCCAGCACCAAGCACTTTCAATGGAACCAGAAAAATGTGGAGCACAATCGAAGGACAGTGGATAACATGGGTAAGATGTGGAGAGTGGGAAGTGTAGCAAATAAATGGGGAATCTCGATTTAGTACGAGTAATCGCAATAATTCGTAATAGGACAAGAAGAAGAATCGATAGTTACTAGGGTTTCAATGTACCTTAAATATATGAAAAAGCTATGCCAGAATTTGAATTGTTAAACGTGATGGGAAATTAGTTATGCAACGCTCAGAGACAATCAGTGCTTTGTAAGACACACTAAATATATAGATAAAATAGAATAACTACAAGTTTTGATCGGAATAAAACTATGCTAATTTTATATGTTAGACTAAGTGGATTCAAGATTCATTACATTAACCAAAATTTGTATAATTTTCAAGGTCAAAGGATTATTAAATCATCTCGGGATATGTGAATTTATTTTGTGCCCATTTAAATAATAATGAAAATCAGATCATCTTTAAAATGTTCACCTTCTACTTCAAATCGATAGTACGAGTACTTTTTTGCTTCGTCACTGAGTTTCCCATAGTGCAGTTTCGTCAGACCTTCTTAGAAATTTAAATCAAGGCAAGAGTGAACCCAATACCGAAGACACGTCTCAGACATGCAAAAATAAAATGAAAAGGAGAAAAGTACGTTGCAAAGAGCACAACAGAGAGAAGTGAGAGAAAATGCCCGGGAGAATACTCGAGCAGAAGCCATAACATTGGCATATCTATGCACAGTTTTTTCTGTTCGAGAGTTCAATGCATTGATTATATCTCGATTACGCATACGCCACGACGGCCAGCGCAGAGTGAGTCGTTTACAGATTCAAGATTAAATTAATACCTGCTCGAGTGGGCCCGGTGGGCCAAGTTCAATAATTTATTGATTTCTCCAGTCAACCCGCAACTCAAACAGAACGTCGAACTGGAATCGAAAACAGAAAAGTCGCCGCTGGTTAGAGGGGAACACAGATCCCGGCAGACAACCTTCAAAACAGGCTGGACAAATTATTCCCACCCCACCCCCTTGTGGGCTCATTGCTTGCCGCTGTCATGGCACTTATTTAATTTATAATCAAAATCAGCAAACCCGACCCCAGACCCCCAGACCCCCAGACCACGGACCAAGCCCAGCCGGGTACGAGCCAAGTCAGTCAATAAAAGTCAGAGGAGGTTGGAGTGGGGCTGGAGAAAACTTGTGGCATTTGTGCTTATTTGGACATTCAAATTGCCTCAAGCATGAATTATGTGCGGAGAGCGAATCAAATTTGACTCGAATTCATTCCCTGTTTTGTCCGCCATTGGAATGAATGTAAATAAGCGTAAAGATTCGCTTAGTGACTTTGATACCAAATGTTGGCCTTTGTTCACTGATAAGTAAATTGAACTTTCCTTTAGTTTCGAGAGCTGCGAGAGTTCAAAGTTGATCAACAATGCTTCAAGAAATGAAGGTATAACTAGTTTTACTTAAGGTTTATTTTTGCACAGCCCTCCAAGGTTCAAACTCTGTATTGTGCGTCTATATACTCGAATTCTGTACAAAAAGAATTATCGGTGTAGTTGAGTAGTCTCAGCGGGAACTTAAAATTCCTCTTCAGTGCATTCGAAATCGATGCTATGGTTTCCGCCGTGGGCTCACGTTCCTTGACAAAAATGCTGATTGATCCTGGAATATTTTTCAATGTTGAATATTTTTCGAAACCCAAACCCAAAACGTTGGATGGGATAGTACTTACTCATATGCTGAAGTTTGTTGGACCGATTTTTATCCTGATAGCAATAATATTGCACTATGAAATTATCGTTATCTGTTATGCCAAACTGCGACCAAATGCTATAGCCCTGAAAAGTACGTTTTACGCACTTTTCTTGGAGATAGTTTGGGTGAACTGCGTACAGAAACCAACTTCCAGTGAACTTTGTGCGAATGAATACTGATAAAGGTAACGATTTTTTTTGTATTAAATATATTTTATTTAATTTACCGCCGTCTCTTTGGAAAGCTCATTGGGTAGGGGCATAAATTTCGGACACTGACCGTCAAAGGATAGCCTATGCTCCTTGCTTAAAGTTCGGCCAACCACCAAGAGTGCACTTGAGCGAGAATTGTCATCGAATAAATGGCAGGTTGAGGTTACATCTTGTGACTTACCAAAGAAACTTCAGCATGGTAAAAGCGCTTTGAATACTCCTCTCTACAGCGAAAACGAATATCAGCAAGTACCACAAATCGAGTTAGTCACACTTTGTTGAAGCATTTGCGGAAATAAATTGTATAATTTGCCTAGATTCGTAACGCTACTCAAGTTTGTGGCATGAAACAGGCAATGTTAATATGCAACGTTTGTATACTATATATTATACATACATAGGTCAGCTTCTATAAGTCCCTTCGGTAAACAATAAGCTATACCCGTAGACCTTGACCGCAATCCTTCCAGCCGATATCAAGCCATTTTCTTTCAAAGAATAATAAATTATTAAAATGCGTTGAATATCACTTCGCGGTCCTCATTAAAACTCAGATGCCCGACAAAACCTCAAAGACCCCACAGACAGCCAGAAGAACAACCTTTCACCGAAGATGATGCGGCTCAAGAAGGACTGTCACTCTCGACGGGTTGCCTCCAAGTAGTTACTCACTTTCCACTAATGACATGCAATTTAAAGGACTTTAAATAGTGTCGCCTAAAAGTGTGCCAGCCGCTTGCGGCATGTCAATGTCATTATACAAGAAATGGCAGAGGGACGACGCGACGGAGACGGAGACGGCGAGGGCGACGGCGACTGCAAATGCAGCCGCAATCCTCATTTATTTTTCAGTTGCTACAAATAAATGTTCATGGATACATCCCAAAACAAACAAGCAAATACACAAGTACATATATGTATATGTACATATGTATGTACATTGATGTACATATATATTTCTTATATATAAAACAATATAAATGCATTTTTAACACACAATATATATGTATGTATGATGTATGAGCATATGCGTGGCTGCATTTGTATGGCAACTGAGCAGAGGAAGGCCGAGACGAGACGAGACGAGCGCAGCGGAGGTCGAGCGAGTTTGTAAAACAATTTTTATGCTCCAATTTACAATCAAGACACGCACCAAAAATTCATTGCCACCTGAAGCATGTGGGAGAATAAAGCTGAAAGCGAACAACAACGGCTGACGAGTTGAATTGTGCCGGCCATCTCTCGATTCTCGATTCTCGTTTCTTGTTTCTCGTTTTTATACTTTAGAGAAATTTTGTGGCTCTCGAAAAGGGTCTTTGGCGTTGGTAAGACGTGGTAAAGTGAGCTTAGATTGGCCCAGATTGCTGAGGAATTACAGCAAGAAATCAACCGCAATTACAATTTCTGAAATAAAATCAATGAAGCCGATTATTAAATGATAACAAAAGCTAAAGCGTTCATTTTAACTTTACAATATTTACATATTGGAAACCTAAGTCCGAAAAAACAGAAAATAATAACTTCATATACTTAAAAAAAAGTTACCGCGATATATCTTATCGATTCTGTGTTCAAATTCGTCAAGATTTATAATTTTCGTGCACCCACAATAAAAAGGCAATGCAGAACTTAAAAGGATTATGCTATTCCAATATCATTTGCGTCTTTTCTTCCTTACAACAAAGCTCTGAGATGCTCGAAAGTGAATTATTCTCGGAATCCGAAACACACTGAAGTTCATTTCATGTTTACTTTATTTCCGACTCTAGGCAAATTAATTAAGAATAAACCCAATGCGATAGGCAACACTCGCACACAAATCGAAGAAGCGAGCAGCCCAAAATGTTTCTTCTGCAATTTTGTGTAGTGGCAGTGGCAGTCGAGTGGGAGGGAAAATAATTACACAGCACGCAGCAGACAATGCGAGGTGAAAATTGCATTTGCCAGAGCCAGAGTGGGGTGCTCGAGAGAATGATGGAGATGGCTAGGGCTAGGGCCATAGTAAGAATGTGCGCGAATGAGGGCTTTGGGTAGTACAGTAGTCGCATTACATGCTTCTTAAGTATCTTTCGCCTCATACGTGCCTCGCGTCGGGGGCTAAAGATATTTATACGAACTTGTTGGTTCTGTTTCGTTTGCAGGCAGGAAGGAAGGCGGATGGAGGATGTAAAAGGGTAGCGAGAAAATGCATTTAACGAAACTTGAACAAAATTGTAATGTAAAGAAGGGGAAATTATACAACTTGTTGTTGCTGCTCCTGCTCCTGCTCCTGAAACGGAGCAAGTCAAGAAGTTGCCTGCCTGCTCCTTCCGTGTCCCTGTTTATACCCTCCAGTTGTACGACTATGTGGAGCTTTCTTCCAGTTTTTCGTTGTTTTTTGTTGGGAGAAAGTGAAGTCTTGGCACCTTTATTTAAGAGACAGCCCCAAGGAGCTTTTGTTGCTGTATGCAGCAGATTGAATAGCAAACGTGAGAGGAGACCTTGAGAAGTGCTCGGGAGGGGGAGGCGACATATGTTATGTCTTCTCCGTTGCCTGAGTCAGGATGGAAAATGGTGCCTCCGCCAGCATAAAGTCATTAAGTGGGGGAAATGAAAATAAATTTACGCTTGGTAAATAAATCTCTTTGATTCTGCACTTCTTCGCTTCGTTTTCGTTTGCCGAACTACTGAGAAATACTTTAATTAAGTTTTAATAAAAATCACACCCGAACTAAGTTCAAGGGGAACGTGAAATAAGTAGAAACTTTCTGTATTATATTTCAGATAATCTTTATCAAGTAAAATATTATGAATATTATTAACTTATTTACTTTATTTTCTTTTCGATGGGACAATCTTTCATATCGAAATTCCCTTCATTGACTACTTTGGAATTGTTGAAATAATTTTCCACTTTTCGTATCTAATCGAGAAATGTTGGGATGCATGAACTTCATACTCCTAGAAGGGAACGTACACAAGCTTCTTAGCCAGTTTCGCCGGCACCTCGCTTAGCCCATTTCAGCAAATGCGTAAACATTTCACGTAATCGCTCAACACCTAATCAGCATTCAGCTTCAACTTCAACCCTTCTGCCGCTCTTGGCATTGTGATGCAACAAAGTTTGCACTGGGTAGCATGGCTCAGCCCCAGCCCCAGCCCCAGCCCCAGCACCAGGCCCTGCCCCTATGAGATGTTACGAGTGCCAGCCAGCATCCCATCAGCATCCCCATCCCAGGAACAGAAGCCACAAAAGTTGATGCAATGAAGGGAAAAGGGAAACGAGCAGAGCCACGTTTATCGCAGTTCCTTGTTGCTTCAGAAACGATTGTTGTTGTTGTTGCTGCTGGTAAGCATATGAGCATAAAGGATATACGCTGTAAATTTTCATTTTTATGAAGTTACACAAAGTACAGAAATGTAGTTACATTTTGGATTAAACTAAGGTAAGTATGCAAAATGTTTGAGTATACCAACATTACATGCTTGCACTTATTTCTTGGCACAGCCACCGACCAAACAAAAAACAAGTAAGCAAGAAAATCATCCCAACTAAATAACGAAATTAAACTAAAGCAACCAAAACTTGTAACCACACCCACAGCCTTATGCTTGCAGAAGCTCCAACAAATCTATTCAAATATCATTGTTTTATTTTTTGCAGAGGATACCCTAAGTATTATCTGAACTTAGGAACTTAGAAATCCTTTAAAATGAAAAAAATATATCGCTATGATTACCTGTTGTGGTCTAATAATATCTGGCCAAATTCTAAAAAGGACCTCCAATGAAAGTTCAATCGCTGTTATATTTAAGCGTCACCAAGGACTCATCTATTACCAAACACGAGTATGCGGACTCCAGCTGCTTTTCTCTCCAGGCGACAAAACCGCAAGAACTTTTCAGCGATTCTTTCGATTTTCAGCTGTGTCTGAAATGCGGGGTACGCTATGGTTGATTTATTTTACATGTCACGACATAAGCGCACTTCCAAGTGCCAATCGGAGGGGTCCCTGCTGCCTGCTGGGGCAAATGTGACACGTTTGGGTGTTTTCGTGCGTGTAATAAATTTTTTATATGTACTGCGCAAGACAAAAAAAAAAATGCTAAATTCTTAATCGACACCTGTCAATAAAGCATTCTTCTTCCATTGTCGTCTGGTCGTGATGGGACTGATGTGTTCTCTCTGTGCGCGAGTGTGTGTGGATTCTGCTAGGACTGGGACACTTCTTTCCCTTTTTAATATGCCTCCCATGAGTTTAATACACATCCATGCCCGTAATGCTATGCATACTCTTATTCCTAGCTGCCTGTGGGGCTTCTCTGATTAATATCCGCAAGTATTGACAGCTGAGATTTCGTGCCATGTTTCGAGTGGCCCACAGACAGAGACGGAGCCAGCGTTGAGTTAATAAAACATCGAGTGACATGTTTTAGGAAGGGATCGTGCGTGAAATTCTAAAAAGCGCAAATCCTTTGCGGTTTTGTTCCCGTCCTCTTAAGCCGCTTGCCATTGTACTACGCTTAGCTCTTAAATTATTGTCGGTACTTTTTTTTATTAAACATTGTGCATTGTGTGCAACTTTTGTACAGGGCGTAAGTAAACATAACTCATACGCTGCGTATGCCGCAGTTACCACATCGCTCGGGTGGAGGACTTACTAGAGTCGCTGTTGACCTCAACTCTACACCTGGACGGGGTGTTAGGTAAGCTCCGAAGGCTGCGGCCCAACAAACAAAGTCTAATGACAGAGATTTATGCTGTAATTGCATTTAGTGGGTCGACGGAGAGAATGAAACAATGTTGGGTAGGGCCAACGATGAATACTGAATACACTTGCTATGATTTGATATTATTTGAGGGGTGCTTTTATTTCAAGGAGTACCCTGGAGCCCTACCTCTGCAAACTCACAACCAACCTAGAATTGGCTGAGCTGCTTATATTGCATGTTTGCGAATCGCTGCACATAACCGATTGGTCCATTCTTTGAAGGTAAAGGGTATTCGTTTTGAAAGAAATGCGGCATAAATAAGCACTGAAACCAATTATAAGTTTTGTTTTGCTGCTTGCAATTGCAACGGTGCCCACTGCACATTGGCCGGTGCCTGCTCGGTGACGGTGACATCGGGCAAATGGCAAATGGCCAGGCACAAAGTTTAATGAAATTGAAAATAAATGAGAAAACATTTTACACGACGTTCCGTTCGAGATTGGTTG